TCTTACAATATCGAACTAAAAAATAGAAACTTTTAAAATTTTCTGTTGGTCATAATACATGAGTTATAGAAGGGTTAAGCTTTACATAGGAAAACGATCAAAATTCTCTTTTTGAAATATTTGAGATAGATGCTAATGGTCTAATTCGATTCAATAATTTATGCTAAGCTAAGCTAAGCTACAAGCATACCTGCCAACATTTGTCCCAAAAAATCCAGGAGACCAGGGGGGTTATGTTTGGGGGTAAGGTGTCTGAACAACACTGTTGACAACCGGGTATTGAAATTACGGGAGTTTTCTTGGAGAAATAACAAAATGGGAGGGTGGCGGGAGATAAGTCTGAAATATCGGGAAAAACGAGAGTGTTGGCAGGTAAAGCCTGATTTATACTTCTGCGTCAAACACCGGCGTATGCTACGGCGCTGACGCATAGCCCTTCGCCGTGGCCATCGCCGTCACTGACGTGCACCTCTCAAAAAATGTAACTACACGTCGCAACGACGTGTAGCATAAGCTCTGTGATTGGTCGGCTTGGTAGCGCTGACGAGTCTGGGCGGGACCGAGAGGCGCGCGAATGGCGCGACGCCGCGCGAGCGATTGTTTACAAGTGTGGAGTCCCGTGAAGGAGCTCCGGATGGAAAGTTTTGTTTTGTGTTTACCTCATAGTTAAAGTTGTTGCACGTCCGCCGGTTCCTGCCTCAAAATGAGCGAGTTTGAGCCACTTGTACATCCCGGAAGTGTTTAGGAAATGCAAAAAAGTAGCGAAGAAACTCGACACAGAGGAACATTTACACCTCACTGCCAACTAGCGTTTCGGAAGTGTTAATGCAGACCGGCAGAGACAGCGCGCAGAAGTATAAATGCACAGCCACGCACGTTGCCTGCGCCGTGGGTTACGCCGGTCACCTGACGCAGAAGTATAAATCAGGCTTAAGGCTACAAGTGCTCTTGCCAGATCAGGAGATTGGTTGAATGGATTCATAAAAATAGTGTTCCAAATAAAATGACACGATCTATTCTTTTGTATTTTCCACAGGCCGATTGCTGTTCGCTGGATATAATGATTACAACATTAACGTCTGGGATGTCCTGAAAGGTACCAGAGTGGCAATTCTCTTTGGTCATGAAAATCGGGTCAGCACTGTCAGAGTGTCTCCTGACGGCACCGCGTTCTGCTCGGGTTCATGGGATAACACTTTACGGGTGAGGGTCCACTTTGAGTCAAAGTCAACTCAATCTCACAGTAATTAGTAACTTTTTTTAAATTCGCATTAGTACATTTGTAGTACATTTTAGTACAATTTGCTCATCCCCCAATCAGAGTTAGGGTTAAGCCATGGTCACACTACATTTTGAGCTTACAAAATTCTGTTGTACAGTGCTGTGAAAATCAGGGATTAAACAAGATGATTAGAGATTAAAGCTGCGGTCACACTGGGCTTTTAGATTCATGCACAAGCAAATGCGTCAGACCGGAAATGCGGTCAAGTTTCGCAACCTGCGAAATCGCATCACTTGACTGCGTGAGAACAATCGAGGATCAAAACATGACATCTCTAGACAGAAATTTAAAACATGGAGCAATCACTCGCTTTTAAAATGTTTAATCCCGCCCCTTTTCGCAGTGCCGCACGAATATCGCATGGTAAAACAATTGATCCTAATGCAAACAGTTAACAGTTTTTTTAACAGAAAACTGTTAAACAGAGCATCTACTGCGTGAGAATGAGAGATAATCGATCTACTTTCACTTTCGCTCTTGGATAGGGAAACCTTTACGCACAGACATCAATTAGTTTATAATTAATTAATTTAGTTTGTTAAGCGCAAATATTTGTTTCAAAATTATTTCAAAATTCAGTTCTAATTTCCAGCAAATGAATAAAATGAAAAATAATAACGAAGTGTGCTCAAAAACCTGAGTTATATCCTAAAACACATGCAGTGCCCCTTATGGTCTAAAACCTGACAGGTGGGCAAATCTAAGCTTGTTTTTAATAAAACAAATATAAATATGGATATAATAAATAATAGTGCTAATAATAATAACATTATACAAAAGTAAATTGTTATGAATGAACTGAAAAAGCCTCCCGAGATGAAAAAGGCATAAAAGCAGTGATTTTTTTTTTTTTTTTTTATGTAGGCTAGAAAATAATATGTTTTGTAATACTTTAATCCTTTATATTTATATCCTATACCTATTCTTAATATATCCTATATATATCCTTAATATTTAAATTTTTTCTTATGTAAAGATATTTGCCTATTGCTCTCTTGTGCATATTAAGCAATGTGTAAGCGAGGCTCAACTCTGCGCCGGAGTTCAGACCGGGTTTGTTTTTGTCTAATGAAAAATCTATTTTAGTTTCTCAAAATAGCGGCGCGCCAGCGGTCCGCCTCAGAACGCCTTCTTTTTTAGACCAGAATGCCTATGGGCGCACATATGAGCGCTAATGCATTTGCTATTTAAACAGCGTAGCGCAACGCCTCAAAACGACTCTTGCGCCAAGCTGAAACTAGCAAAAGACTATTGCGCCACGCCTTGCACCACATTGCGCCAAGTGTATGATAGGGCCCATAGTGTTAAGGGTGGCGTATGGGACACACCTCCATTTAAAAAAAAAACATTTTTATATGTGAATAAACTTTATTAATTTGTCATTTCTGACAATTCGTTAAAGAGTAAGTTTTGTTTCTTGGTGAGATTTGGGTTGAAGTGATTTACGTTAGATATAGCAAAACATTTCTTTCTTCTTTACTGGCATTAGGGACTATTTATAAATAACAATAAAGGGACTGGTTGCGGTTGGTAGGTGTTTTACACCATCATGTCTGTCTGTCCGTTGAGAGCAGGGGAATTACGCAACATAGGTCATAGAATCCCCATTCTTGTTTTTCTTTCTAAAGTTCATAATAGTAATGGAAAGAAATTACTCTGTTCCTCTTTTGTAAATTATGCCCGCATATTGGTTTATATTTGGATTTAACAATTGTCTCATTTCTTTGTTGCAGATCTGGGCTTGAGGAGTCATGCTGGAGGAGATACTTTCACTTCTCAGTATCAAAGCACACAGGGCGACTGTAGGGAATCTTATCTAGAGATACAGACTTTTTTTTTAATATCTTAGCACAATTAAATGTCCCTTTCTTGGCTTCTCACCAAAATATAAACACTGCTACTAATTATAATATAAAGAAAACTATTTAGAACAAGACAGTTTTTTAATTAAACACCTTTTTAGATATTTTTATCAGAGTTTAAAGACATGTATTTAGAAAAGTAAATGTTAGTATTATTATATCATAACTACATCATCATGAAGTTTTGCTTGCACTAGAATGATGAAAATATAGAAAAGTATTTTGTTTGTTTTTCATGTCAGTGATGATATAGTTTACCAAAATCAACAATTGATCACAATAATCTGATCGCTTAGTTTGTCCACATCAGTATTGTTAACATTTTCCTGATGAAATACACTTGTTTACCATTGCTTGTTGTCTATATAATGTAGTCGTTGAGTGTTACCATTGTATTCAATAAAACGAATGCACTTTCATGTATTTTGTGCTTTTTAAGGTACCACTGTGATTGTGAGTGTGAAAGGTGAGTGTTAATGGGTAAAAATAAATACATAAGTTTACATTAATGAGAAAGGAAATCCACTGAATCGATGAGGACTGGCTGGGATATTTAGGAATCCATTTTGATTTATAAATAGAGGAGTAGATAATATTTATGTACACAAATTTGACTGTAATACTAACAGCTGAAACAGAAAATCGGTCTCAATCTTTTATTCATCCATTCATTTTCCTTTAGCTAAATCCCTTTATTCATCAGGGGTTGCCACAGCAGAATGAACCAACATCTTATCAAGCATATGTTTTACATAGCAGATGCCTTTCCTATCTATCTATCTATCTATCTATCTATCTATCTATCTATCTATCTATCTATCTATCTATCTATCTATCTATCTATCTATCTATCTATCTATCTATCTATCTATCTATCTATCTATCTATCTATCTATCTATCTATCTATCATCTATCTAGGCTATCTAGGCTATCTATTTATCTATCTGTCTGTGTGTGTGTGTGTGTGTCTGTCTGTCTGTCTGTCTGTGTCTGTCTGTATGTCTGTCTGTCTGTCTGTCTAATAAAAAATAATGATAGTAATAGCTTAACAAAACAATGAAATATTAATAAATATATAAACAATAATAATATGACAAGGAAAAGAAGAGGAAACTAAATAAAATAAAATAAACAACTACAGAGGAAAGACTTGTGCATCAGTGATACTATCAAAATAATAATAGTAATATTCAAAATATCTGTCACTTCTCTTGTTTTTAACCAATCTAAGATTTTTAATTACTGCTTTTATCTCAATTAAGAAATGGAATGGAAGACTGCATTTTGTTTCCCACACAAAATATATTGAAAAGTGAATAATATAATTCTCTGACATATGAGTGTTACATTATATAGGAACAAATTAGTATATCTTGTAGTTAAAAAAGGACTGGAAGTATTACCTGATTACGTACAGTATACAGATATATAAGCTATTTCAAAGGTTTTTATGTTTTATTTTCACACTATAGGCGAATCAGTTTTAATAAAAAGAAGCATGAACTAAAAACATCTAAAAAAAATGTCAAAGTACATTTCACGGGTGTGTTTTATGAATGATCTTAAAATTAACCTCTTTTGTTTTGTTGGTAATCAAGTAATTCTGAAGTAATATACATGCGTTTTCCTGTCCATTAATTAAATGAAAGATACCCAGTAAAATCTGCCTTTATAGAGACATCAAACGTTTTATTTAGGAAAATATGTCGAATCTATTTATTATTCCATTTTCAGTCAGAAATATTGAAAGGAACGGGATGCGGCGTCATGACGCAAGGGCGTGGTTAACGAGCAGAGGCGTGCTTTGCGTAGATAAAGGCCCGTCAAATAGGGCGGAGTGAATGAAGATCGTCTCCTATGAGATCTCACCGCTGTTTGCGCAACTGTCGTGGAGAGCGCAGTCTGACATCGCTGGGAGGGTGAGCTGCTTTATTATTTTACTTTTATGGAGAGGAAAAACGCTAAACCACATTATGAAATACCCTTCAAACACACTTTAATATTATTAAGAATACGAGGATTTTAAACCCGTATTGTGGCTTCGCGTCTTTGTGTTCGCGTGCGCAATGGCGCAGCCGGCTTTGTGTTTCACAGCATTGCGTGAACCTTCTTTCATTCCTCTCTGCTGTGTGTTTTATCAAATTAAGCTTTTCCAGAAGGAACTATGTGTTAAAACTAGCAGCAAATGAGACTTACACAGGTTTACGTTAGACACAATGCACTCCGAATGTTCTTTTAAAAATAACGCAAGGCCTGAACCCATAGAAACAGCCGCTTAATATAACAGCCGTTATTATGAATCGTTTATTTATACATGGACTGATCTGCGTTCAGCTCTGTGTTAATTCTACATTGGCATGTAAACAAATGCGAATTAAAATGCCATATAATTTTAGAAGTGAGACGAACGTTTTATCGTAATGATATAGAAATACATTTCGAAATCTCCTTTCCCTGAAAGATACATTTAGTTTTGTAGTACATGGGAATACTTATGATTTGTCTACATTTATAATATATGCTATGATGATGATGATGATTTGATGGAAATTGTGGTTACCATGGTAATTTCTGTAAGGGATAATTGCATCATACCACGTAAGGCAAGTAGACAAATGACTTTGGCTAAAGGAGAGATGTAAACATTTTAATGAATGTTTAGATGTGTTTAATTCTTTGTCTATCTTCATTTGCAGTTTATTTTATTGAAATGGTGTCAAATAGATGTATAAAATCAATTAATATTAGTTCCATAAATATATGTTAATAAATTAAGGTGAAAAAAGTTAATGGGACTGCATTTAGGTCAATCATTACACTATTATCCATACAAGTGGTTGACATTTCAAGAACGCGCTTTCTAATGGATAAAAAATAAATAAATAAATAAATAAATAAACAACATCAAGGCTTTTTGTACTCAGTAATGAAGTCTGCTCTTCAATACAGGAGATAATCTGCTGAAATACATTTTGTGTGTATGGAACAGAATAGCGATGATCAATATCTAACCACAGGTCTTGCATGTTTGAAATCTGCTGTTTAGGCTAAACTGAATCGACAAAGACTCATTATATATAACTAAAACCGCTGTCCACATGGCCAATGTGGTTGGTTAATTCTAAGAAACTTTTTTTTTTTTTTTTTTTTTTTTTTTTAAGTGCGCTCCTTGAAATGTTGCCATGTCCTCTTGTTATAAGCAACACTTCTTTAAAAGATTTGCACATAGCTATCAAGTTTATGAAGATTAAGGGATAGTTCACCCAAAAATGAAAATTGTAATCGTTTTCTAACCCTTGTTTCAAACCTTTATGAGTGTCTTCTATTAAAGACAAAAGAAGATATTTTGAAAAATGTTGTAAACCTGTAACAATAGACTTTCTATGGTATTTATTCTTCCTATGGATCTTACAGCTTTTTGCAGAATAACTTTTGTGTTTGAGAGAACAAAAGAAAAAAAAACTCATAAATCTTTGAAACCACTTGAAGGTAAATAAATGCGTAAATTAAAGATTTTTGGGTAAACTGTCCCTTTAATGGAGTAAGCAGGTCGACAATATTTATTTTCAAGATAATGCATATGACTTTAAGTTTATTTTAGCATGATCTGGCAACACTTAAGTCAAATGTATCTCATTTCCTTTGATTTCCTATGATTCATATAAATGTTTGCATATGTTTTGTGCACACAGTGTGGGAGTTCTGAAAATGTCATTGTTACGTGTTAATGCACTGTAAAGTGCGGTTGGCACAGAGAAAACGTAACCCTAAAAGTCAAACTGACTACTAAACTTATTATCAGTATATTTGGCCCTAACAAATATTGTGAATTCATTTAGAAAATGTCCTGTTGGTTGAGGGAACAGACTCTGTTGCTGGCGGAGGACTACATCAGCTTCTGCAGTGGGATCCAACAGACGCCTCCCAGCGAGTCGGCGGAGGCCATGAGGTACCTGGCCAAAGAAATGGAGCAGCAGCACAGAACCAAATTCCGATCCCTTTCCCAGGAGTTCCTGGACACCTGCGGAGCAGATCCCAGCAAATGTCTGCAGAGCGTCATGAGAGAACTGGTGGGAGATGGGAAAATGAACTGGGGAAGGGTGGTCTCTATCTTCACATTCACTGGAGTGCTGGCCAGTGAACTACTGTCCAGGGGAGAGAATTCGGAGGGTTCCCGAAGATTGGCCGAGACTATAGCAGACTACCTAGGAGGAGAAAAACAGGACTGGCTGGTGGAAAACGGAGGCTGGGTAAGCATTAGCAGTGTAGTTTGAGGCTGAACATTTAACCCAAAGCAAAATCATCAAATATTTAAGGTCTGAGCCATACAACATGTTCAGCTTTTCAAAAACTTACAAACACAAACTTAATGGAAGCTTAATGTTTTTTTTAAATGATGGAAAATAAATATTATATCAATCATAAATATGCAGATTTTATATAAAAGTGTGTGTGTGTTTGTGTGTGTTTGTGTGTGTTTGTGTGTGTTTGTGTGTGTTTGTGTGTGTGTGTGTGTGTGTGTGTGTGTGTGTGTGTGTGTGTGTGTGTGTGTGTGTGTGTGTGTGTGTGTGTGTGTGTGTGTGTGTGTGTGTGTGTGTGTGTGTGTGTGTGTGTGTGTGTGTGTGTGTAAATAAATATATATATATATATATATATATATATATATATATATATATATATATATATATATATATATATATATATATATATATATATATATATATATATAAAATTCAAAATCTGAAAAAAATAATAGATTTTATTTTATCAAAGACATTTAAAAGACATTTACAAAATAATTAAATAAATTAGGATCACACTTGTGCTCAAATGTGTCCAAATGGGTTCGATTAAGGCCTGCAATTCCAAGTATGCTTGAGAGTTAAGCGTGTAAAATGATGGTTCTTAAAGCCATTGTCTTTATGCGCAGTAGAGACTTGACCTGTATAATCATCAGGCTTTTATTGAGGGGTTTTTCCACACTGGTTTTACTTGATGTGAAACTGCGTGGGCGTTTAAAGCGAATCATATTTGATCTTTCATGCATGCTTTCAGAAGCCAAGCCTTTTATATGCACTGTTTGATGCCTCAGTCTCTCACACCTGTACACTTCAGTGCGCACATTTTAAATCGTAATTGAAAGGTAGATACTGCAGTGATATGCCAGTGTAGTTTTTTTGGGGGGGGGTGGTGGGGGGAGTAAAGCAGCATATACCTTCTTGTGGCTGGCCTGTTTTTGTCAATTAGAGAGTGATTCAGGCCAAAGAATCTTGGGAATGCTTGTGGGGAAGCAGAACTGCTCTTTAAAAGCCTTTTAAACAGGCTCTCAAATGTCTCACCAAGGACCTATTTGTGTAGGCGTCCAGTGCTTCAGACTCCCAGGCACTGACCTATGAAAGCGGTACTTGTTCCAGCTCTAAATAACCTCAGGAGAGGTTGTTTATTTATGCAGACTGATATTAGCCAATGGAGTTTAATGCAAATGTTTTCCCAGAGAACTTTGGCCAGGGGTTCGTTTGTCGCATGTGGATTATTAAGTTTGCTGGATTTAATTATTGACTGTTTGACATGATGCAGGATAGTTTCAAATTATCAAAACTCATCCAGGAGTAGTTGTTGTCATAGCAACAGGGGTCAGTTTTTGGTATGTGCATTACTCAATTAGTTAGATTTGGTTATTGATGATTTGACACTATGCAGGATACGATTTGGTTATTGACGATTTTACACTATCGAGGATACTTCAAAACTATCGAAACTTATCTAGGAGTAGTTGTTGCTATAGCAACGGGTTCATTCGTCATACATGTTATACTCAATTAGCTGGATTTGGTTATTGACGATTTGACACGATCCAGGACACTTTAAAACTATTGGAACTCATCCAGGTGTAGTTGTCATAGAAACAGGTCCGTTCTTCATACACTGATTACTTGATTAGCTAGATTTAGTTATTGACGATTTGACATGACCCATGATTCTTTTAAAGCTATCGAAACTTATCCGTGTGTAGTAGTCATAGGAACAGTTCTTCAATTACTCAATTAGCTGTATTTGGTTATTGACAATTTAGCACAATCCAGGAGACGATTTGGTTATTGACGATTTGACACGATCCAGGATTCTTTAAAACTATCGAAACTCATCCAGTAGTTGTTCTCATAGGAACAGGGATTCGTTCTTCGTACGTGTATTACTCAATTAGCTGGATTTGGTTATTGATGATTTGACACGATCCAGGGGTCCGTTCTTCGTACCTCGCTTAAATGATCTAAGATGATTTGGCAGATCCTGGATCTTTTAATCTTGATAACTGATCTCTTGCTAATTTGGTTCCTCAAAGAAGTTCGCGAATCAGATTAGAATGTCTGGATAAACTGATCTGAGATCGCTGCGCGTGTTGTGAAGGACTGATCCATCGATCCTCGAAATCATGATCAGCAATGCAACGATTGGCTGACGGCACATCAACATAATGACATCATCTGATTAATATTCAATTATCCATGTGAGCAAAATTGCATCAAATTAGCAGTAAACTGTTTGTTAAATATGACACGCAATAACCTTCCACATTTGTTGTGAGCTGCAGGCTTTACACTTTCATGTGTCAAGACTATTCATCATGTATTTAGTTCTACATTAAGAAAATATTTTCTTTATTATAGTAGCCGTTTTTTTAATCGGTGTAAAGAATAACTGGATGTTTACAAAAGCATTTTGATATTGGTGAAGGTGTCTGCAACTTTTGTGAAGCATCAAGTCACCGTCATATTAACTGTCGAAACATGTTCATGTCAGCATAAATGTATTATTACTTTTAAAAAAAAAGCCACATATTGTGCATTATTATTATACACAAATTGTTCTAAAGCGATCTAAAAAGTTCATATCAATAAGTTTTCTCTTTGCACCACCAGGTGGCAGTCTTTGTACTTTTTATTTTGGAGTGCAGATTGCAAGTTTTAATAATAATAATAATAATAATAATATATATATATATATATATATATATATATATATATATATATATAGTTAAAAAAAGTTACTATTTTCCCAAGTGTATATAACTACTACTGTAAGAAAATATCAGAATTTGGTACATACTTTCAGTATTTTCTTTGCATGAACTGAGCCGATCTAATGCTGTTTATATGAATTGAGCCTGCTGCCGAGCAGGTTTGATCTACCAGAACTGTTGCTATAACAACAACTCTCGGATCAGCTTTGAAGAACGAAACGATCCTGGATCGTGTCAAATCGTCAACATCCAAATCCAGCTAACTGAGTAATCCACGTACGAAGAACGGACCCCAGGATACGACTTTGTTATTGACGATTTGACATGATCCAGGATACTTTAAAACTATTAATACTCATTCAGGAGTAGTTGTTGTCATAGCAACAGGGCTCCGTTCTTTAAATGTGGATTACTAAAATTGGCTTGATTTTGTTATTGACAATTTGACACAATCCAGGATACTTTAAAACTATAGGAAGTCATCCAGGAGTAGTAGTTGTCATAGCAACAGGGGTCCGTTCTTTGTTGCTCAAACCTCAAGTGAAGGTGATCGTGAAAGCATGTACCAGCTGCTAATACTGAAATAGATCTATTATAAATGGAGAACTATTAATAACTACAATTCTCCAAATGTGAGAGGCTGGTTTGTGTGTTGAATACATCCTACAAATCATACTATATTTGTTGTGTTTATGATTGAGCGGTGGTGGAGCTTGTTTCCATGGTCGCATGACATGCTCTCTGTGCAAGCAGATGGCCATGTTGGTTATACTGCTGTAAGGTAGACCATGTTCAGGTACTGCTTAATGTCGTTGCTTAATAATATGGCAGCAAAATGCAAAATTCCTTGATTATTACTTCAGAATGAAAGTATACTTTCTAGCCATAGTGGCCTAGAAACAGCAGTTTTTTTTTTTTTTTTTTTTTTTTCATTACGGGATGAACAGAAGGGCCGAGCTTTAAATAGTACAATGATCTAGGCTCTCCAGTTATTTTTAAAGTGATTTGTAATGGTCTATTTTGATTCAATGACTTATGCTAAGCTAGACCAACATTACTGAGGCAAGTGGTTTTAATAGTCAAAAACAAAATTATGTTAACAAAATATCTGATCTCTTTATAATAAAATAAGCATACGTGTTAAAGAAACTCCTAAACTTGATAGATAAAATGTTACAAAGTGTTTGCAATGGTTAAGTGAGAACGCTGAACAATCAATGTAAACTTTAAGGTACTTCAACATCTGTAAAGTATGAATAGTAAGGATACGGCAAACCTCAAAGTCTATAAACAAAACAAATTATGATCATTAAATCTGAGCTTTCAAGTAAAGAAATCAACTATCATTATTCAAATACACAATGCAACATTACAAATTGTGAAGCTGAATGACTATATTACCCACTATGCTAAAAAAAATCTGGGCAAAGCAGTGGCGCAGTAGGTAGTGCTATCGGCTCACAGCAAGAAGGTCGCTGGTTCGAGCCTCAGCTCAGTTGGTGTTTCTATGTTTCCCCCACAGTCCAAAGACATGCGGTACAGGTGAATTAGGTAAGCTAAATTGACCGTAGTGTATGAGTGTGTGTGGATCTCCAGAGATGGGTTGCGGCTGGAAGGGCATCCGCTGCGTAAAAACTTGCTGGATAAGTTGGCAGTTCATTCCGCTGTGGCGACTCAGGATTAATAAAGGGACTAAGCCGACAAGAAATGATTGAATGAATGCTAAAAAATCTTTCAGATGGGGAGCTAGTGGGTGGGATGCACAAGAAAAGAAACCAAAAAGCCACTCTGGCAGCATCCTTTTATTTAAATTTACAATCTCCTCGCTGCTGCTATATGGCACTCATTTTCCCATTTATTGTTATTCTGACGTGAAGTGACAATAGTCTCTTCTACGAGCATCTCTCGTAAGTAGGCGACCATCACGCAAAAGTAAAAAGCACAGCAGTGTTTGGATGCACTGTGTTTGTAATTAGCCTGCCATTATTACTGAAATGTGTATATTTTATACAAAGTGTGAAGCAGATTGATTTGCTCTACTTGCGTGAATAGTGGTGCGCTCGCAGCATTTTGAACTAGGTGTACATGGAAAATGTGCGCGTCATTGAAAATGACAAATTTACACACTAAGCTTATTGGTATTCCTTCTAAGGCGCACATTCAGCAGCCACATTTTAATAAAACTATAGCTGTTCATACAGATCTATATATATATATATATATATATATATATATATATATATATATATATATATTTTTTTTTTTTATTTTTTAAATTTTTTTTATTATTATTGACAATGGTGTTTGGTCAATAAATATCAAAACCGATTTTTATCACCCAGCCTTACACTAAGCTAAGTGTGCTCCCATCTGACCCAGAGATCTGCTAAATGGATTCAAATCTAATGACCCACCTCGTCAAAATTAGATGTTATGAAACGCCAACACCATGGTGCGGCTAAACATCAACTTCAATATAAAGACCCTGGGAGTAACTAAGTAATAATGTTTGGCATCAGACATGCCATATTTGAATGAGATTTTGAGCTTTGGCAGAAAGGAAGATTTCAGTTATTGACAATTTTCATTCTCTTCCTATTATTATACGCTATTATCAGACATTAGCAGACTTGGAATGTATCTTACTTAAACCATAATAATTTGACTTCTCCATTTGTCTTCCACTATGAAAAGTCTCAAGGATTCTAGAAAATCATGAGGGCAACGGAAACAATGACATAATTGATGAACCAGCTCTAGAAACCAGTTAGTTGTATGTCTGACTAAATCTCTTTTATTTTTTTTAACATCATTTCTTCATCATAGTGAAGTCTGAAAATAAAACATCCTGTCAGTCATTAAGGCAAATGGTGGCATATATTTGCATAAAGTAGTAAAGAGTTTGAGAGGCTCGCTTTGGTCTTTTCTATCTCTCTTCCCCATTTTTTTCTCTTTTTTATTTGGCAGCTGCTGAAAGCAGAGCTGAAGGCCACTCAACCATTTAGTCTATTGTGTTTAGCAGACGGCTGATCTCTACGCTTCAGTCAGAGTTTGTGCAGCATATGATTGTGGGCTGGTGCACCTGGACTCTCTCTGACCAGTACAGCAGGTGTCTCTCTGAAGGCAGCTGCTCTGTTCAGCTCCTCCAGCCTTCTGCTGTTTGTTTTGCTCCTCAGGCAGTTACAAACAGCAGTTAGACCCGTCTGTGCATTTGCCTGCAGCTTTGTGAAAAGCATCAACGTATATCTACATTTAACCGTGTCCTTTCAGTTGACTCCATAAAATGTAAAGCACAGAGTGAAGACTTCTTTGTTCGTCACTTAGTTGTGCAAATAAGTTTGAAATGCCATTGCAGCAGTATATCATTCGTTTAAATTCAGAATCAGAACTTGATCAGAACGTTTTGCTTAAGTCCATGTTTTTGTTAATAAACAAGTGAAGAAACGTAACTATATTACGTTTTTGTCAATTTAGTTGCTAATTTTTACGATTTTAAAAAAGGAGGTGTGGCACCCAATCCCACCTATAAATCTAACCATCTTGTACTATATTGTACAAATAAGATCGTACATATTCATACTAATTAGCTGCTAAAACAAACAAAAAAAGTTACAAGTTGACCATGAGATTTTGTTGTTAAAAATACATGTTTTTCCTCTCCGTTTTGGCCTTTCATCCACACTGAGACTGCGTTTTTATGAAAAGAAAACGCATCTTTTTGAAAACAGTCAAAAGTGGATAAAACTGCTTTTGTTTGCAGTGTGGACCATGAAAACAAAGGCTTTTGAAAGCGATTATGCGTTATAGTCAAGTGACTATTTCAGTTAACATGGTGGATGTAAAATTGTAAAGCAGATGTTTTGCATGTCCATTTTTACAGCTTTACTAAAGATTAATATCAATTTGTACATTCTCCGTATTGCCTCTCTTTAGAGGATACAGAATATTTAATAGGGCTGCTGTTCAGCGGTGGAAGCAGATGATCGTTGTGACATTTTACTGCTACATTTCAAAGAGACGGAAAGCAAATAAACGGCAGGCGGACATGATGCAGGTAAAAGCGTCTTGCGAAAAGCTTTTTTAGTGTGGATGACAATTGAAAACAATAGTGTGGACATGGAGGCTTTTGAAAGCGGTAACGCATTTCATGTGATGCAGTTATGTAATCAATTCATGGTGAACGATATTGTAAAACGGATGTTTTAGATTCTGTCCGCTCTGACAGTTTTATTAAAGACTAATGTCAGTTTGTCCATTCTCCATATCGCCTCTGCCTCTCTTAGGCTGTTCGGCGGTGGAAGCAGATGATAGTTGCGTCATTTTACTGGGCCGTTTCAAAGAGATGGAAAATAATTAAATGACAGGTAGATATGACCATATGCTTGATTTGTGAATCGCGAGGTCCCGGAACTGATCAGGGTAACTGATCCGGCATGTTACCCAAGGATGTAGAGGTGTCGCGCACTAAGTGGAGAGGAGGGGGGGGTTGTTGCGGATGAAAGTGAAGAGGGTTGGGGAGTGGCGGAAGAAAATAAAAATGAACAGCAGATGGTGGAGGAGGGAGGCTGAGGAGGGGAATCAGTAAAATGAGGTGCCGGATCAGATTCCAGAGGTGCCTGATCAGGCATGTTCCAGCACGAAATAAGCCCTGGATATGATGCAGGTATAAGCATCTTTTCGGTCATTTTAAAGTGGATGACAGACAGAATTGAAAACAATAGTGTACACATGGAGGCTTTCGAAAGTGATTTCGCATTTTATTCATGTGATCAGATCAATTCAGTTAACATGGTGGATAACATTGTAAAGCAGATTTTTTCCATTTTGATGGCTTTACTAAAGATTAATGTCAGTTTGTCCTTGCTCCATATTGCCACTCTTCAAAGGACAAAGAATATTTACTATTTTTATTTTATTTATACTATATATATATATATATATATATAAATTATTATTATTATTTTTTTTTTTATTTATCCAGATTTGTGTGGACGTAGCCAAAGTTGCTTACCGCTTCAAACTAGTTAAACGCAATTTTTTTCAATTTATATCACAACAGTTTGTTGGCTAGATTTGAACCAGCATCTCGGACAAACACTCTAGGACACAGGTGTCAAACTCAGTTCCAAAAGGGCCGCAGCTCTGCACAGTTTAGTTCCAACCCTAATTAAACGCACCTGATCAAACTAATTGAGTTCTTCAGGCTTGTTTGAAACCTACAGGTAAGTGTGTTGGAGCAGGGTTGGAACTAAACTGTGCAGGAATTGAGTTTGACACCCCTGCTCTAGGAGGTCATAAAATGTATTTAAATGAGTCTTATTACACAAAAAATCCATTTTCGACAAAAAAAATCTTTCAAGAAATCGATTCAAATATTTCAGAAAGCATCGCAATGAATTGATTCTGAGCTTGGTTTTTACCATCTGATGGGGCCGCATCCTTTGCAAACTGAATTAGTGTATGGTTAAAAACTAGCCTAGAGTGCCATCTGCCAGTGATGGCTGATTGCGAACGAATTGTAAGCTGCATCTGAAATCCTTTCCATACTATATGGTACGCTTCAATCAGTTTGCGAGTCGAGTAGTATGTCCGAATTCATAAAATTACAAAAAACAATATGTGAGAAATACCTTGATGACCTACTACTTCCGGCACGATTCTGAAGTGCGCATCTGATAGATGCTACGCTAGAATTCATGAATGGAAGTGAAGTAACGCAACTGACGCGGGTAGGTCACGTGATTATGACCAAATGTCAGATGTAGTACGTTAGAGTTCCATTCATACAGCTCGCATTCATACTGTGTAGAAAGTACTTCATCCACGGCTGAGTAGTTTGTTTAAATTCAAATGCAGCACCGACTGAGTAGTAGGCGATTAGTAGATCATTCTTTTTAACCGAGTATTTTAAGTTTAACCCTAATCAAACACACTTGATCAAACTAATTGAGTCCTTCTGGCTTATTTTAAACCTGCAGGTAAGTGTGTTGAAACAGGGTTGGAACTAAACGGTTCCTGGAGGGCCACAGCCCTGTTCCAAGTAAACTGTTCAAATCTGTTAACATGATCTCACAATTTGGCCTTAAAAAGAAGTCCAAGTGGGCTGTTGTGTAATATTTCTGCTCATTGTTATGATTTTAGTCACTTTGACTAATGAGGTGTGAATGACTGGGCTAAATGTAGCTTACGTACATGGAAAAGCGTGAATCTAATCTTTTTTTTTTTTTTGTTTCTTTTTTTGTAGGAGGGTTTTTGCAGGTTTTTCCACAACGCAAGACAACTGAACCAGGAGTCCTCCATGAAAACAGCACTGTTTGCAGCAGCAGGAGTGGGTTTAGCTGGTCTAACCTTCCTCTTAGTACGCTGATGATTTTAGAATGCTCTTGCTCAATTTCACATTGACACACACAACAACACCTGATCTCTGTATTCTGTCATATGGCGAAGTCAAAACAGTTCTTATCGAGAAACCGGTCTTTTTGCACACTGTTTTTTCCCCACGCCTGTAATTACAGCAAACAGTCATTCATGTTGATTGTACACTATTCACATGGCCTTCAGGAGAGAGAAAGACGGAAGATTGAATCCTTTGCATATCTAACATGGTGCTTTTTTATTTCATAATTACCTTTATCACTCGTTTCTGTGTACATCCGGCTAGTTTAGATAGTATTTACAGTTTATTTTGTGAAAAAACGATATGAAACCAGTTTGTTTGTAATGTTTCTTTCAGTCTGAAAACAAGACGCTTGAGCGAACGCAGTTGTGTCTGAAAACATTCTAAGAGACGATATATTTTGTAATGAAAGATCTTTTTTTGTTGGACCACCTTTTGCTGTGCTTTAGTGGTTTCCCGCCTTTTCGGATGTCGCCTGTTTCATCCTGGAAATCGATTCGTTTTTAAGGTGCTAGCTTGTTTTGGTTCCAAGCGATTTCTGTGATACTCTGCCCACTTGTAAGTGACTCAGTTTACGCTGTAAATTTATTTATTTACTTCTAAAGAACAAATTATTACTATTTAGGCAATTCCCAACAATCAACAAAACATTATATTTTTGCATTGTTTTATTTATTAACTTCTTTCTTAATAAAATAATTTTACTGTGAAGTCCGTTTTTTGTTGTACTACTTGGGTCTCCTATTGTTCCTTTAGTGTTTAAAGGGTTGGTTCACCCAAAAATGAAAATTCTTGCCCTTGTGTCATTCCAATCCCTGAAGACCTTTGTTTGTCATTGAAACAAAAAGTACCTTTAGAAGTCAGAGGAGTGAGGTTTACCTGCATAGCACTTCACTGCCTGGCCTCCATTACAAGTCACTGGTACGTCACATGGCATTGACAACACTATGAATGAGATTTCCTGAAAGATACAACATGATGAATGAGATGCTTTGAAAGTTTGCAGCATTTGGAAAGTGAGGTTATACCTTTTTGACTATACCAAATGTTGTCATTAACTTATGTGTGGCCATTCTGGCGATACTCAGGACTAGATTGTTTAGGTTATCATCACGACTAGGTTATTAGGACTAGATTATTTAGGACTAGAGTTTTTAGATGCCAGTTTAATTTTTACTGAAACATTTAGCCATAGTTTGGAAGTCTATTTGGACATATTTTAGAAGCAAAAATGCTTGCTGGGTATCTACCCTATTACTGAAATACTGCAGAATACCTATTGGAACCCATATGGATCCAAGATTCTCAGAGAAATCAGTCAAGTTTGATGAAGGAAAAATCCTGATTTGGGGTTACATTCAGTGTGGGGGCGTGCGAGAGACCTGCAGAGGGGATAAGAAATTTGTGCTACCCATTACATTACAAACCACAGGAGAGGGCCAATTTTTCAGCTCCTTCTCAAACTTCTGCATCCACATTAAAGTTCCTGAAAGCAAAGAAGGTCAAGGTTCTCCAGGATTGGCCAGCCCAGTCACCAGACAAGAACATTATTGAGCATGTCTGGGGTAAGATGGAGAAGTCATTGAAGATGAATCCAAATAATTTTGATGAACTCTGGGAGTCCTACAAGAATGCTTTCTTTGCCTTTCCAGATGACTTGATAAAGTTATTTGAGTCATTGCAGAGATGTATGGATGCAGTCCTCCAAGCTCATGAGAGTCATACACAATATTAACTCTGCTCCATGACTTTATATTCTATACTGTACATTACTTCTGTTAAGTAACAATATTTTTGTCTAAGCAAAGTCAGACCTCACTGTCCTAATTAAAAAATTAAAAATCAAGACCTGATCATATATTATAATGGTAAAATAAGCGTAATCTGGAGGCCCTCGCCTTTCATATTAGCCACTTCTGATACCAAATGATCAACTAGAAGATGTAATTTGTCATTCCTAAAACTTAGATAGGCGACAAGACTTTGTCAGGTAGTGTAGTATGAGCTATAATGAACTAAGAAGTACTGTAGTATACTTTAGTTTTTATTAGAGTAAACTCTGTTGTATTGTATCATAATGTGCTTATAATATTCTGATTGTAGAAAATTACAGCATTGGTAATTTATACTAGTTGTGTTACTAAAGCAACTATGCAATAATCACAACAGATTAATTCAAGAACTTTACTATAGTACGCTTCAAAAAGACTTCAGCATGTACTATAAGTTATAGTATTTTATACTGTAGTAACTCCGTTTAGTGGCCCTATATCTCAAAACTAATCTCTTACCATGCAGAACCTGCTTCGAGTTTATTTCTACCATATTCCATTCATTCATTTTCTTGTCGGCTTAGTCCATTTATTAATCTGGGGTCGCCACAGTGGAATGAACCACCAACTTATACAGCATATGTTTTACACATGCCCTTTCAGCTGCAACCCATCACTGGGAAACACCCACACACTCTTATTCACACAAATACACTATGGACAATTTAGCTTACCCAATACACTTACAGCGCATGTTTTTGGACTTGTGGGGGAAACCGGAGCTCCCAGAGGAAACCCATGTGAACACGGGAAGAACATGCAAACTTTACAGAAATGCCAACTGACCCAGCTGGGGCTCAAACCAGCGACCTTCATGCTGTGAGGCCCTACCATATTCCAATAGCAGTAAATAGGCAAATTTCTCCAAATGAACAGGAATATAACTTTGCTGACTATTACATTTCCTAACATGTTGTGTACTCTCCACACAAGCTGGGAGAATCAAATTCTGCAAAGTGTTCAGTAAAGCAGCTGCAGTCCTTTATAGAATATTCTCAAAGGCAGACCAGTGCTGACAGCAGATGTGAAAATGCTGTGTCAGGCGGCAATTGGGCAGCATCTTCATGGCGCTCACAGTTAAGCTGCTACATGAATCCTAACATTAATTATAATTGCCATAGCTTATATTGTTTGGTATTTGAAGGAACAAAATGGTTTCAGTACATCTGAACAGCAGACAACTTACCGAAATAACTCTCCATATGCTTCATTATGTTCATTATGTCTTGCTCAGAAGTTCAAGAACGTTGAGTTTATACTGTATGCTGTGCAAAAAAAAAAATGTATCTGCCAACAAGCTGACTGCAGTGCCATTGTTATAGTCAAGATTACATGTTTTTCTTTCTGATTCTGCTTTTTAAAACCCAACTATGTTGGTTTCCAGTTCATCTGACTCAGCAGAGCATTCTTGCTTTCCATTTACCGAAATGCTGATGTTAAAAAAGAAAGAAAGAAATGTTCCCCACTATGAATAGTTAGGAGTGGTGGAAAGAGTGTGGGAAAAAATACTCCAAGTATGAGTAAAAAGTTCCCAAGAGTAGTGACTAGTCGTCACCTAAGAAATATAAGGTTCTATCTGATGTTTTTGTCAAAATTGACAACTTATTTACATTATGGAATGTTTTTTTTTTTTTTTATATATATATAAGTTGTTTACATTTTTAAGACTTATTAAAAAACACATACTGTTTGCTAGGGGTGTGAAATTACACTGGTCTCACAGTTTGGTTCGGTTACCATTATCATGCCATCGATTCAGTTCAATTCGATATCACAGTGCATTGAAAATGCTTTTTATACATAATTATATTTTATCTTCACAACATGAGTTTTTTTTAATTGAAATCTATAAATAGATTTATATACTATTTGTAATACAATTTTGTCATTTTCATACAAGCAGAAAGATATATGAACTGTATCTTTCAAGAGTTCACACTTAGCTGATGATTTATAAAAGCTTTTTTGGCATGCTGTCCTGGGAGAGAGACCCAAACTCAAGGGATACTCGAGCCTGGGGCTTCCTCCCGTTGGCAGAGAGAGAGAGGGGAGCCTGAGCTCGGTGGATCTCAGAACTCCCCGACTGCGGTAGCAAAGGGAACAGAGGGGTTAGACAAATGCTTGATTGTTATCCTTGTTGAATGTCTTTGGATGGTGGGAGGAAACCGGAGAACCCGGGGAAAACCCACGCAGACACGGGTAGAACACACAAACTCCTCACAGAAACACCCACCGGCGCTAAGGGACCAGGGCTGGCAGTGTTCTTGCTGTGGGGCTCGCAGTGCTAACCAATGGGCCTACGTGCCGCCTAATCAGAGGTAAAGGAGAAGAATAAGGGAGGAGGGGGGTTTCTTCCAAATGAAGATAAAATGAACTGAAAACTGTGGTTATATATAGTAGCTTAGGGCTCACATGATTGAAAGATAGTGATTAGCAAATGCGAAATCGGCCATGATAAATCATAAGCACGTGATCCTCTCGAAATTAGTTTATGAATAAACTTCGCTTAATTTGACTTGCTTAATAAAAACATTCTTTTTCAATGTTTCCAACAAAACTCCAATTCATGCACAGAGGACAGCATGAGCATTTATAGCAAATAAAGTAATGTAAACATTATCCTTCTTACTTTTTGAGTGCTGTAAAGCGAGGTCATACGCCCCTATGATTCGTCATTGACTTCACCTGCTCAACAGAAAAGGCTGCTGTTGGCTTTAGAAATGAAAGCGATGTTCACCGATGAGTCACGCGTGGAAGAACAGCCGCGGTTAGTCAATATGTGCATAATACGCGGTTATCACAGGTAATACATAATAGATTGTGGAGAAAACTTGCACCACAGGCACACTCGTGTCTGGATCCACAAGTATTGATTTAACTGCTAAGAGGAGAGGAAAAGTTACCTCACAAACAGGCCAGCAGGTCAAATGTCCAAAGTGTGAGAGAGAGAGAGAGAGAGAGAGAGAGAGAGAGAGAGAGAGAGAGAGAGAGAGGCAGTAGTGAAATAGCGGCTTGTGTGCTGTGCCTTCTTCAGTGTCAACAAAAGACTTTCCAGCAAACTCACAAGCAGTTAAATTGTGCATAATTATCTACCTTTAAAGTGGTAAAAGCGTTTTATTTAGTCGCCCTCGCCTCCTTCACCATAGTATTCTATTGGGAGGTTGCTCATAGGAGATAAATGACGTCAGTATGTAATACCCGGTTATGATCTATTACTGAATCGAATTGTCCCCATCTGCATCACGGTGCACCGAAGAAACAATTAATTTTGACACCCCTACTGTTTGCTATATGGAATGCAAAAATATGAAGCTCAATACCTCAAAATTATTCAGAACGCAGATAGAACCTTATAATTCCAAGGTGACATAGTGTATTAGTTGTGAAAATCATTCCATTTTATGGTAAATTAAAAACGTACATGAGTTTACATGAGTGCCTATTTCTTTTAATGATGTTAAAGGTAAATTGTTTGCCATTCATAGACTATATACAGTGGCTGAGAGATCTTAACATACATGAATTAAAGAAAATACATGCAATTACAAACAAACACCAGCAAATTAAGACCCTCATCAGTTTGACAGCGTGTTGCAAATCCTCACAAAGCAAATAAATTAAAAAAACATGCTGCATTTTCTTATAGATGCAAAGAAATTAAGAAATATCCTGCATTTTTTAGAACACATGTGAATAGCATGGAACTAGGGATGTAATAGTTCGTCACCTTGGAATTATAAGATTCTATCTGTGTTCTGAATAATTTTGAGATATTGAGCTTCAAAGTTTTTGCATTCTACATAGCAAACAGTATGTGTGGAACATTTGTTTTTTAAATAAAGAGTCTTAACAGTTTATAAAAAACATCCCATGATGTAA